AAAGCAGAACTAATTTGCATCTCTTGTGTTTTGTAGCCACGAGGGTCCCGTGTGGCAGGTAGCGTGGGCTCATCCAATGTTCGGCAACATCCTGGCTTCCTGTTCCTACGACCGAAAAGTCATTATTTGGAAAGAAGAGAACGGATCCTGGGACAAGATGTACGAGTACACCGGACACGAGTCGTCAGGTGGGTTTGATACAAGTTGAATCTCTATTCTTGTCTTATACATGCAGGTGGCTTCACACAAGAAAAGACCAGATCCTCACAGATTATTTAATTCATGTTCTTTGTATTTACAATTACAACACTATACATTTAATATCTTTCATTGAACACTTACGACATTTACTGGATCTCCACGGATACAAGAATAAATCCAGGGTGCTCAGTCCAAGGTTTTTCAGAAATTAACCAAAAAGGCCTTTGATTCATTTTCCTTATTCAACCTGCCACATTTTTGTGCCTGTATAATAGGGCTGGGCCATATCATACCATTCATGGTAATACCGGTATAATGTTGGGCAACGATAAATAAAATGAAATATATACATGGTTATGCTGAGGATATGTCGGCCAGTTTCCACTGGAAATGCCTTTTGGTTAAACTGTCAGCAAGGAATTTGCATTTGCACGGTAAAAATTTTATATAACTTTAATCTATATATGTATCTATATATGGTGTATAAGATAAGATAACCTTTATTAGTCCCACACGTGGGAAATTTGTTTTGTCACAGCAGGAAGTGGACAGTGCAAAAGTTATGAAGCAAAAATTAGAATACAATAAGAATAAATACAGTACACAACTATACAGAATAGAATAGAATAAAATATACAATAAGATAAAAATAGAATACAAATGCTATATACAACTGAGTAAAAATACAACGATGCCAGAAAAGATTATTGCACATTAGTGTTATTGCACGTTTGTGGATGTGTGTGTTTGATCAGTATCAGATCAGTATTTATGCTTATATCCTTACTCTCATTCCCCTTAATGTATCTGTAACATGCAACTTCTTTCGGTGCTTTGCTACTTTGCTACTGGAAACTGAATTTCCTGGAGGAACCCACCCGAGGGATTAATAAAGTTTCATCTAATCTAATGCACATAAGAAACAGCTGCCACCTGCCCTCAGAGGTTGATAACAGTCTTTCTAAATGGTAGAAGGAAAAACCAAAGTCTGAATCTCAAACTTTAGGTTTTTAACCAACCTCATAGCAAAATGCCACCAAAGTTGAAGTATATGTAATAATTTTACTAACTAGTTGAATATATATGAAATATATTTAAATATTTTTAACTTTTAGTGGATTTTCCTGTATTCACATTATTGTTCTCACCACAAAGAAAATCACTTTGCTTTAGGTGTAAACACAAAATCTGGGTTGGGCAATGTGTTTTTAGAAGAAGATCCAGCCATCACTGTCTGTGTGTTGACTGACCGTTTTTGTTATTTGTGGTGTATCAGTGTTATGGTTTTTAACCATCATTTTCTAGTTCCTCATTTCTGTAGCTCCACTTTGTAATTGCCCTTCACCACAGTGTGTTTTATCAGACGCCTCACTCCTTCTGTGGGTTTTGGGGCGGGTTTTGTGGCTCTACCTGTCAGCCACTTTACCTTATAGTGGCATCTTACATGTTATGTTTCTTTTGAATTGCTCAATTTTATTGTAGTGATTATGAGAATATTTCTCAGTAGGTTAGTGTGTTTTAATCTGGAGTCCCTCTGGCTGTTTTTCCCCTCCTTGTACTCTTTTATTTGATTCTTTTTGTCCCTTCGTCAGAAACACGCTGTTGTAGATTGTGTCCTCGGTAGAATTAGAAGTTTAACAGATCAGTTTGGTGTGTCAGCTCACGAAATAATGAAGCACATTTTATTGCATTAAGATTTGATGGACTCCTCAGGCCTCTGTCTCATTGAGTCTCCTCCTGTGTGTCCACAGTGAACTCAGTCTGCTGGGGTCCATATGAGTTTGGTCTAATCCTGGCCTGTGGCAGTTCAGACGGAGCAATTTCCCTTCTCACGTTTACTGGAGATCAGCAGTGGGACGTCAAGAAGATCAGCAATGCTCACACTGTGAGACTTACAAACTGCTCTGAATGTTTGAAATGTCACTTTAGCAGCGTCCTGCATTGGATGTAACGCACTGTTGTGATTCTGCTGCAGATCGGCTGCAACGCTGTAAGCTGGGCTCCCGCTATAGTCCCAGGCAGTTTGATTGATCAGCCATCGGGACAGAAGCCAAACTACGTCAAGCGCTTCGTCTCCGGAGGCTGCGACAACCTGGTCAAACTCTGGAAGTAAGTGCTCGTGTTTTCTGAAAATCTCTGAAGGAAATCACCCAGGATTTTACAGTTCATACCATAGGTGCAACTACTAAAACTTTTGGACACGTTCTAATCTCAGTAAAAAGGTCAAAGGTCAACTTTTCTGAAAAGGATTTTCAAATTTATACTATAGGTGCATACCAGGAGGTTGATGGGTAGCACTGGCAGTGTTCCTGCAACACACTCAAAGTTTCAGAAGCGTTTAAGAAATTATTATTATTATTATTATTATTATTATTCTTATAACATAGCTGTGTAAGACATGCACACTTGACCAATCAGAAGCATTGAACACTACAAAAGAAACCTGAGGAGTACAAACATATTTCAGTGGAACATAAATCATGTTCTGAATGTTCGTTCTTCAGAAAGTTTCGGTTCTCTGAGGAAAGTTCACTGATCTAGATATTTAGTGTCACCACAGCACAAACATGGTGATCCTTGTGTGACAAGTGTGGTAGTGGTGAGTGGAGCCTCACAGCAGAAAGGCTTCTGGTTTAAAAACGTAGCTAGAGCCTTCCTGTGCCTAGTTTGCATGTTCTTTCAGTACCTTTGTGGGTACTCCTCCTTCCTCCCACAAACCACAAGACACACTGGGTTAGTTGGTTATCCTAATTGGCTGAATCCAAGGAAGATACATTTCTTGCTTTAAGTATAGACAATAAAGCTCTGCATGAGTGTGTGGTTCAGGGTGACTTGTGGTCTGAAGGTTTTGTTTTGTTTTGTTTTTTTTCTTAAACCTAATTGTCACTGATTGATACTTCCTGCCTGCAGAGAGGAGGATGGGCAGTGGAAGGAGGATCAGAAGCTGGAGGCTCACAGTGATTGGGTGAGAGATGTTGGCTGGGCTCCATCTATTGGTCTTCCCACCAGCACCATTGCCAGCTGTTCTCAGGTGAGATTTGATGTGATTACACATGCAGAACATG